GCCATTGGGCAAGCTCAGCCCCCCTCTCACTCACAAACAATCCAGCTGCTTCTACCAGAGACCTTGGCCCTGGCACTGACTAGACCAAGCGCCGGGCCCAGGGGCTGGGTTTCCCAGCCAGTCTAACCCCAACAGGCGACCGTGGTGCAGCTGTGCAGGTAGAGCCCACGCGGTTTCTGACCCTGCCCCAGCCCTGCCTGCAGGCCCCCAGGCGCCAGGTCCAGTGCCTCTGGGGCTGGTGTGTCCCATTAGCCGGGGGGACCCGGAGAAACTGTTCTCCCCTGGAGCACAAAGCAGAGCCCCAAGCCCACCTCCACGCAGTCTTGCAGCTCCGACCCCAGTGTCCGCCCAGCGGGGGTAGGTCTGGCCCAGCCGCCTGCCTCTGAGCTCCCCCAACACCAGGAGCGTCCTCCGCTGAACACTCTCAGCAACAGCACTCGGCCCGCCCCGAGGGACCCCTCTCTTCCGGAGGTCCCAGGCCGCTCAGGAGCCATGGACATTCCACTCGCAGGCCCACCTTTCAGCAGCTCTCACACAGCCCAGCATACATGAAAGGATATCGCCCTTCGGGGGCCGCACCAGCTTTACCAAGGAGAACAAGTCTTGTTTCTTTGGGGCTCCCCCGGAATCAACCGCCCACGCGCTGCTCACACCAGCCACAATCCCTCTCCCACCAGCCCCACTGCCAACCGACACTGTCCAGACTGGCCGGGCAGAAGGGGCTGACCCTGGCTCCCCCTGATCCCAGGGGGGCTAAGGCCTCTGAAAGGTGCAGAACCAGCACACAGATGGTGCAGACAGACAGCGGCTCCAAGAAGGCGCCGACCCTGCAGGATTGCAGCTGGGGGCGGGGGATGGGGGCAGTGCTAGCTTGAATCTAGCTGGCTTGGGTAAGAACAGCATGTGGATGTGGTGGCACGGACTAGCCTCCAGAGGGTAAGCCGAGTGGGGACCCTGGTTGCCAGCCTGTGCATTGCATCTGCAGTACAGCTGGTACCCCGCATGGCTAGATTGGAGCAGCCGGGTGCGCCTCCCATGTGCCAATCACCCCTCCCCTTGCCGGGGAGATGCACCCTAAGCAAATTAGAGCCCCCCCCCCACACACACACACACCTATGCCGCGGTGCGAGTGCTGATTCAGCAAAGTACCCCGGTCCCATTGACTTCCCTGGGAGCTCGGCCCTGGCTCTCTGAGCCTCTCCTGCCTCTGTGCCCCGTGAGCCGTGACCTGAGGCTACCGGAGTCCCTGGCCATCACACGCAGGGACCTTTTACAAGCCAACGGCCATTTCCCTAGGCTGGCCTTTGCCTGGACAGCAGGTTTCATAAGCCTGTTACATGCAGATGCAAACCCAGACCTGGCCTGCTCCACACCCCCTGCACCCCATTCCCTCGATAGCATGGCTGGGAAACGTCTTGGGGGAGGGGAGGTTAGGTTTTTTCTGCCTCTCTAGTCCAAGAGAAACAATCTCAGCCTAGGTAGCGGCCGGAGTAGGGCCCGGTGCCTGGCAGGCGTAGATCTGCCTCTCCAAACCCATGTGCCTGGTCTGTAGGACAAAGCCCTGCACCGCAACAGGGACGGATTTTCACTCAGTGTGGGCACTGCCAAACCCCCCCCCACCATTGTTGCCTGGAGCCAGGTCCTCTTGATGGGACGGAATGAAAACAGGCCAGGGCTGGAAGGGCCTTATCGCTGGGCCCAGGCGGGATAGGTGGAGCACGGGGAGGGGGATGAAACCATCTTGACATGGAGAATGGGGGGTGGGAACCCGACTTCTAGAGAAGCTAATGGGTTGGCCCCCCACATCTCAGCTCACTTCTTGCCCCTCCCCCAATGCAAGCAGGCCTGGGGCATTTCCACTGCCCCTCCCCACGGGGGTCCCCTTTAAGCAGGAGGTTGTCTGCCTGCAGCCCCCCA